TGTCATGTGAACGCTGAGTACCATAAGGTCCCATTCACACCTGATGTCCCTATCCTTAAAGCATGATTCCTTGGGGAACGTTGAGAAGCCTGAGGGCCCATTTACACCTGACGTTGCTGTTCTTCTTCAGAGGTTCCTGGGGAACGTTGAGTACCGTAAGGGCCCATTCACATCTGATGTCCCCATCCTTCCAGCAGGATTCCTTGGGGAACGTTGAGTATCCTAAGGGCCTATTTACACCTGACGTTGCCATTCTTCTGGAGAGGGTTCAGGGGAACCGTTGAGTACCCTGAGGGCCCATTCACACCTGATGTCCCCATCCTTCCAGCATTAAGTACCCTAGGGGCATATTTACATCTCAGTTCACGGCCCTTCTGGCAAGATTCCTGGGGAACATTGTGTAGCCTAAGAACATATTCACGGCCAATGTCCCCATTCTTCTGGAAATGTTCCTAGGGACCATTGACTACCTTGAGGGCCCTTTATCACCTGATACCCCCATTCTTCCGGTGAGATTCCAGCAGAACGTTGAGTACCCTAAGGGCCCCTTATCACCTGATGTCCCCATCTTTCCATTGAGATTCCAGGAGAACGTTGAATGGCCTAAGGGCCCCTTACCACCTGATGTCCCCATCCTTCCAGTGAGAATTCCAGGAGAATGTTGAGTACCCTAAGGACCCCTTATCCCCATCTTTCCATTGAGATTCCAGGAGAACGTTGAGGGCCCTTTACCACCTGATGTCCCCATCTTTCCAGTGAGATTCCAGGAGAACGTTGAATGTCCTAAGGGCCCCTTATCACCTGATGTCCCCATCTTTCCATTGCGATTCCAGGAGAACGTTGAGGGCCCATTTATCACCTGATGTCCCTATCTTGCCAGTGAGATTCCAGGAGAACGTTGAGTACCCTAAGGGCCCCTTATCCCCATCTTTCCAGTGAGATTCCAGGAGAACGTTGAGTACCCTTATGGCCCACTCACACCTGACATCACCATCCATCCAGCAAAATTACTAGGGCAGCCTTTCCCAACCAGGGTGCTGTGGTACCGCCCAGTGTGCCTTCTGGGTTCCTCAGGGGTGCCTTGAAATTTTCACACAAAGTCATGCCTATGGGATGTGAAGAAGGCTCCTGATGTGAAAACGGGAGGGGGCACTCTTATGTGAAAGGGGAGCTTTGATGTTAAGGGGACTCTGATGTGTAGGGGGGGCCCCTTATTCTGTGTGTTTTTGCTTGGAGGGGGGTTCCCCATCCACACCAAAGTCCATGATGTTTGCTTGACCTATCTTCCCGGTGTGCTGGTGACATCTTGCTTCTTCAGTTTCTCCCCCCATCCAAACCAGACCCATATCTCGTTTAAGGGTTCGGTATGGATTTTGGAGGGGCCACGTGCCATTTTTTACATTTGGGGTGCCTCGAGAATTTGCATGTTTTTAAAGGGTGCCGTGGCTGAAAAAAAGGTTGAGGAACGCTGCCCTAGGGGCCCATCCACACCTGACACCACCATCCTCTAGCGAGATTCTTGGGGAACGTTGAGTACCCTGAGTGCCTATTTACAACTTATGTTGCTGTTCTTTTGGAGAGGTTCCTTGGGAACGTTGAGTATCCTAAGGGCCCATTACCCCCTGATGTTCCTATCCTTCCCGTGCGATTCCAGGAGAATGTTAATTTCCCTAAGGGCCCATCCTCACCTGACATCACCATCCATCCAGCGAGATTTCTGGCGAATTTTGAGTACCCTGAGGGCCTATTTACACTTGATGATGTTGTTCTTCTGGAGAGGTTCCTGGGGAACGTTGAGTATCCTAAGGTCCCATTACCACCTGATGTCCCCATGCTTCCGGTGAGATTTCAGCAGAACGTTAATTTCACTAAGGGCCCTTCCACACCTGACATCACCATCCATCCAGCGAGATTTCTGAGGAACGTTGAATACCCTAAGGGCCCATTTACACCTGACATTGCCATTCTTCTGAAGAGGTTCCTGGGGAACATTGAGTAACGTAAGGGTCCATTCTGAGCTGATATCGCCATCCTTCCCGTAAGATTCCTGGGGAACATTGAGTACCCTAAGGGTCTATCACATTTGACGTTGCCGTTCTTCTGGAGAGGGTCCTGGGGAACGTTGAGTATCATAAGGGCCCATTACTACCTGATGTCCCCATTCTTCCCCTGAGATTCCAGCAGAATGTTAATCGCGCTAAGGGCCCATCCACACCTGCCATCACCATCCATCCAGCGAGATTTCTGAGGAACGTTGAGTGCCCTAGGCGCCCATTCACACCTGATGTCACCATTTTCTGGCGAGGATCCTGGTATACGTTGAGCATCCTAAGGACCCAATCATACCTCTCCGGTGCCATGCATTGAGTGTGTTAGCCATTCATTGTAAAGTGTACCCCAATGCATCAACCCAACGCACCTGTGATGCCCATGCGTGTCCGATATGGTGCGTTGGCTATTCATTATATGGGCGGCCTAAAGCCAACTCATGAAAAACGCACACACCTTAAGGCAGCACACGCGACCAGACAGGCCCGAATAGGCCCACAATCTCACCAGAAGACACTCCAGCTCAGCACAAGAGCCTTTTCTCCTAGATTTGGGCTCCTCGCCTTTACTGAGATCTCGCTGGAAGGTTCGGGCCGTCCTAAGAGTGAACGATGGGGGTAAGCTAAGTATATATTCTAACTTTATAGGCACGTTTTTTGTACATTTTCGATTCCTGCAGGGGGGAGGGGGTCCTGATCTACAAAGCCGACCTTCTGTTTTCCTGCAAGGTCCACTTTAAAGAGACCAAAGGAAATCCCCTGCGTCAGAAGAGGTCACCTCTCCGGTGGCCTGTGTCTCCTACTTTCCCTCCGAAAGACTCTGCGGCTTTCAACTCTTTGATGTCTATGTCTCAACCCTCGGCATACTGTGGCTCCTTCATGTGACTGGTGTGCCGTAGGGGGTTGGAGGATGGAGCCACAGGTCTTCAGGAGACACAGACAATGGGCAACCCCAAGCGTTGTATGGTGAAGAGTCTTCAGCTCCGGAATGGAGGGAAGGTAGGAGCTCTTCTGCTGCCGTTTGCTGAGGTAAACTAGATGTAAACCCAACCGCTAAGATCTCATAGGCGCTTTAGACCCTCACCATGAGTCAAAAATACTCCTTCGAAGAAGCCACCACACACCACCCTGTGGTTCCTCCATGGGGACATCTTTAACGTGGTGCATGCGCCATACAGAACCATAGACTGTAACTGATTCCCGTAAACTCGTCCGTTGGTGAGAATCGGTTACTGGCTGTAGGACCCATGTGTTGGGTTTAAGAAGATGGTCTCCACCACTTGGGTTTCTATGAGATGCCGTTCACCAAATTGTTGGGTGTTCTTCAGCAGCTTCTGCATCAGCTAGTGATATGATAGCGAGGGACGCTTATCTTGGAGGCCACCAATTCAAAAACTCATAGGGGTGGGGGGGGTCTATTGATGAACAAAACTTGCATAAATATTCCACCAATGAAGCTACAAGTAGTTCTTTTGTGAGAATGGGCCAAAATTGGCTAATTTTCTCTTGTGGGTGAATGTTCTGGTGAGTAGTCAAAGGAGGTCCCTTCACATGTGAATCTACCACGATGTGGCCACTAGATGGCGCTGAGGATCATAGGACATAAATACATCTTCATCACAAGATATACAATGTAACAATTCTAGAATCTGCCGCTGTTCTGTCGAAAGCTCAGACCCGTCAAGATCTCCGACTGGTGATGTCACATCCGGCGACTTGCCAGTAGGAGCTTTAGGGCCCGTTCACACCAGCTGCAGTGCATTCTGGCCGGAGCACACTGCCTCGCATTGCGGCCGGCTCACTTTTTAGTGGGGCAGGAGGGGGCGTGGCGGGTCATTGAACTGAATGGCACCGTAGCCACGACCGCACGGGATCGCATGGCACATTGTGCCTGCGGTCCGGTGCGATCAAAACTATTTTG